TTTTATATTTTATCTCCAGGCATCAGGGTCAGCACTCACTGCGAAGGGAGAGTGCCCCCTACTGAGCCCCCACCCCAATCCCTGCAGCACAGCGCCCCCTAGCATCACAGAGGGGTTGCCACTGAGTCAATAGCAGGTAAATATGAGGGAGGCAGTGTCCTAATTCCCTCATGAACAGATCAAGCCGAACCCATTAACTGTGAGAACAAAGTGTTTGTCCTTATTTATGCCAGTTCAACAGGGTTCATTCCACCTCCGCACAGGATATTTATAGCTTCGTAGATTCATATATTCCAAGGCCAGAAAGAGCCATTGAGATCATCCAGTCTGACCCACTGTGTGACACAGGGCAGAGAACTGCCCCCCACAATAATTCCTACAGCAGATCACAGATGGTGAGGTTACATATCGTCCTGCTTTGAGCAGGGGGTGGGACTAGATGACCTCCTGAGGTCCCTTCCAACCCTGATATTCTATGATTATCTATGATTAAATATATTTCTTGGCTGATGCCATTTTGTTTACAAATGAGGATAAAAGTCTTGCCAAAAACCAATGGTAGGCCTAGGACAAGAACCCAGAATCCTCATTTCCCCTGCTCTAACCACTATGTCCCACTCCACACCCAAAGCCAGGGATGGAACCCAGGAGTCCTGGCTCCCAGCTCTAACCACTAGACTCCTCTCCCCTCCCAGAACTGGGGATGGAACCCAGGAGTCCTGACTCCCAGCTCCCCCACCTCTAACCACTAGAGTCCACTCCCCTCCCAAAGCTGGGGTCGGAACCCAAGAGTCCTGGCTCCCAACCTCCCCTACCCCAGCTTACTAGACCCCACTCCACTCTCACTGTCAGGGAGAAAATCCAGGAGTCCTGACTCCCAGTCTTCTGCTGGTATCCCTGGTGGGGGTAGGGTGGGTGTTGCTTCTAGGCAGCGGCTGTTCTCTGTGTGGGAGTCCACCTGGCAATCTCCTTGGACATCAGCCACAGTCCAGTGCGTCCCGTCTCATTGTCCTCCACCCCCACCCCAGTGAGTGATCTGCGGGGGTTGGCCCTCAGGGGATTGTGGGAGGATAAAGCCAGCTCTGAGCCCACCTGCAATCAGCCAGGAGTCTGCATCTCCACCAGCTGAGAACTCTCCACTCCCCTGACCCAGCACTTGCCTTGATCCAGAGGAGCCCAGCATGGCCCGGACTCTGCTCCTCGCAGTCTCTGCCCTGCTCTGCCTCATGCTAGGCGGTAAGTGCCACCTCGAGCTGTGGGGGGTTCGGGGGGGGGGAATTCCACTACAGTGTGACATATACAGACCCTGAGCTGCTTCTGCTGTGGGGGACCCCTCTCTCCTCCTATGGCTGGAGATAGAACCCAGGAATCCTGACACCCAGCCCTCCTGCTCTAACCCACTAGACCTCATCTCCCCTCTAGAGCTGGGGATAGAACCCAGGAGTCCTGGCTCCCAGCTCCCCCGATGTAACTACTAGATCCCACTCCCCTTCCAGAGCCAAGCCCCAGAGGTTGCAGTAGGGGAGGCCAGTGGTGGGCCCTGCTGGGGAGCACTCCTCTGGGGGGGACGTCTGGGTGACGGTTGGGCGGCCACAGCCTGATGGGTGCTCATCTCTCGTGTCCCTCCGCAGCTGACGCCTTGCGCTGCCGGCTCTGCAGCTCCTTGCAGCCAGGGATGCCCTGCATGCCCCAAAAAATGACCTGCAACTCCCACCCTCCCAAGGAAGCCTGCCTCTCCGTCACCATCTCCTACGGTAAGGACCCAGGCATTCGGCTGCCATTGTCTCCTTTCTCCAATAGTGGCTCTGCTGGCACCCATCCAGAGGCAAGAGCCTCCCCCCGCTCACTTCTGTCTAAAACTCTTACTCCCTCCACCCTGCTTCACACCCCTCACCTTATCCCCCACCCACATCTGAGCGGAGGTGGTTAGCTCCGCCCACAGTGTTGGCCACACCCACTCAAAACCAATAAGCCACACCCCTCTCCTCCTTGGGCTATTATTGGCCTCTCACCTTCCACTGCTGGCCCATCAGTGTCTGAGCTGGCCCTGCCCCCTCTGTTCGCCGCACCCACCTAGAGGCCGTAGGCCCGCCACCCCCATCCTTCCAAGACATGGCTGGCGTTATCTGGACCACAGCCCATGGAATAACTTTAAACTGCATCCCATCCCCCCACCCTCCCTGGCCCTTCCTTATAGGACCCCCGTGGCTCCACCTCCTTTGCCCCCAGCCAATCAGCACCTCCACCTTTCCATGCCCCCTAGGTGGCACTGTGATCTTTCTCTCCCCCTCCAATAACCTTCCTTCCTCCTGCACATACTAGGACACCTTGATCCCACACCTTGATCCCACCTTGATCTGCACGTGATGGGATCCAACCCCTGAACCCCACATGCTGCTAAGCCTCCTACTCCTGATCATTGTTTCCCACTCCAGCTGTCTCAGGCACACTCCCAGGTGCACCCCATCTCTTATACCCATGCTGGCAGTGGGGACCCTGCAGGTCGTCTGCCGAGGCCCCGAAACCAGTGTCTCTGCCCTACCCAGCCTCTCAGTTACTCAGACACATTCTCTCCAAGTCCACCTCAATGGCAGAGCTATGGTTTCTCTAACACACACACACACACACTTATTTTCATCTAGGCTGACTTCTGTATAACTAAGCTTGGCAGACTTCAATTTTTATTTTTTTATAATTTTGACACCTAATATCAATGTTTATTTTTAAGCATTTTTATATCTATTTAAATTTTCACAGTTGTGCAAAATTTGGGGGTTTCAACATTTTTTTTCCAATTTTTTTGTTTTAAATTTTCACAATTGCAGGTAATCGGGGCGGGGGGGGGGGGCAGTGTCAGACAATAAGAGGGGGGTTGGACAATAATTATTTCCTGACAGTAGATGTTGAGATTTGAAAAACTAAAGCTTTTATAACCCATAAAACACAAATTATCAACATCACATATCAAAACGTATAATGGAAATAGCCTTAAAGCAAACTCTGATAAGCAGCATTGGAAATGTATTTTGTCGGTTTATGTGTATGTGGTGAAATGGACATTTACTGATAAAAATAGAGTCTTTCCAAACCTACACATAACACAGCCTGTGTTGTTCACGCCATGCTCTGAACCTCCGATGGCTAAAAGCTGGGACTGGATGACCGGAGATGGATCACTTGATAATCGCCCTGTTCCGGTCATTGCCTCTGAAGAATCTGCTGCCAGACACTATAGGAAAACAGAAGACTGGGCTAGATGGACCATTGGGCTGACCCAATATTGCCGTTCTTATGTTCTTATGGTCATACACTGGGACTGCCAGGAGCTGGAAGTGCCAGGAGCTGGCAGTGGACGACAGGGGCTGGATCACTCGATAATTGCCCTGTTCTGTTCATTCCCTCTGAAGCCCCTGGCATTGGCCACTGTCGGAAGACAGGATGCTGGGCTGGGTGGACCATTGGTCTGACGCAGTGCTCAGGGTTTAGTTGATCGCCATATTTGGGGTTGGGAAGGAATTTTCCTCCAGGGCAGATTGGAAGAGGCCCTGGAGGTTTTTCGCCTTCCTCTGTAGCATGGGGCACGGGACACTTGCTGGAGGATTCTCTGCACCTTGAAGTCTTTAAACCATGATTTGAGGACTTCAATAGCTCAGACATAGGTGAGAGGTTTTTCGCAGGAGTGGGTGGGTGAGATTCTGTGGCCTGCGTCGTGCAGGAGGTCGGACTAGATGATCATAATCGTCCCTTCTGACCTTAATATCTATGAATCTATGAGTGTGGCCGTTCTTATGTGATCATTCAGTGCTTACGCAAGCGCTCTGCTTTCTTCAGGGCCCAGCTCCAACTGGTTGCACAATGCCAAGAGCTTCGCAGGCAGCGTCCCGCCGGGCCTGTCTGGGAAGCTCAGCCCTCAGAGGCACGGTCCCCCACCCGACCCGGGCCATTCTGTGTCACCCCTCCTGCCCCCCAAACCCACTGCGGGTGGGGCTGTGTCCCTTTCATCCCACCGGGGGAAGCTAAAGCGACTCAACTCGCTGGTGTAGGCGAGTGGGAGCCGCTGGCTCACCCCTGCTCTCTCTGCCTCCCCCCTTGCAGGCGGCCAGGTGGAGCAGAAGATGCTGGGCTGCATCCAGGCGGATAACAAGAAGTGCGGCCTGACGTGGGACGACCCGCAGACCGGGCGCCACGCCGAGTACAAGTGCTGCTCCGACAGGGACCACTGCAACGAATAGCGGCCCCAGCTCCGGCCTGCGGCACCCCCCCCCCGGGTGGGGGCGAGGGGTGACGGTGCAAACTGGGCACTCGCGCCCCCCAGCTGGCGCTTCCAGCTCCGCAGCAGAGTCAATTACAAGCCGAGTCCAGAGCCCTGGTGTCCGTGCGGTTCATTTCAATCGGGGGCGTCGTGAGCTCTGAAAAACACCCCACAGCCACGTGGGAGGGGACACAGGGTGGTGGGAGGGAGCTCAGCTTGGTATGCTCCACATGGGGGGAGGGGGGGTATGCATTTGGTACATTCCGCAAAGGGGGTGTGCATTTGGTACATTCCACAGAGGGGCGGGCATGAAGTTGGTACATTCCACAGAGGGACGTTTGATATGTTCCACAAAGGGGGGGGAGGTGTGAATTTGGTACCGCCTACAAAGAGGTGGCTATGAAGTTTGGGATGCTCCACAAACGGGGAGGGGAAGCTATGAATTTGGTACATGCCACAAAGGAGCGGCTATGAAATTGGTATGTTTCACACAGGGGGAATGAATTTGGTACGCTCCATATGGAAGGGGACGAGAGAAGGCGCGGCCGTTTCTGGTCGGGGCAGACCCCTTTCCTGCCTGCGACGGTCAGCTTATGGAAGCCGCTGGCCGGCGTCACTTCCGGTGAGGGCGCCGAGCCCCGGGAAAGGTCGGCGCAGGGACTTCCGCTCTGTGGCCGGAAACCCGACACGCCTCCTCCCTCACTACCGCACAGTTTCCGCTGGGGGGCGGGCGGCCTTAGACTCCGTGTCGTCACTTCCGCCCTGGGCCCAGACCGGGGCAGCCCTGGGCTCCTGTGTCCCCACCGGGAGGAGGAGGCGGGCGGAGGTGAGTGCGGGGGGGTTTCTGTGTGACCCACCGTAATTACCCCTCCCCCCCCAGCCGCGGGGGGAGAGACACCCCCTGTCACCGGGGGACCCGCCCCGCCCCCACACACAGACAGCCCGTCCCCTCCCCCCATCCCAGGAGAGACCCCTCCCACTGCCTCACATTCATGGGAGATACACCCCCCCCCGCCAACAATCAGGGCAGAGACTCTCCTATTGCCTCCCCCAGCCCCCCACCCATCTCCCCCCCGCAGAGCAGCAGGCGTCATCTAGCAGTATTCACTGCTTCCAAAGAAATGGTACCACCCCCCCCCCATCCCTAGCATACCAGTTCCACCTCAGCTCTTTCACTCAGCCCCAGAGATCAGCTGCAATAATTCCCCCCCCCCCCACCTCCCTGCCCTTCCCGCACACACACACACACTAATTGCAATGCAGAGATACAGCATCCCCTATGGCGGTGGCTCTCAACATTGCCAGGCGAGTGTGCACCTTTCAGGAGTCTGATTTCTCGTGCGTGCCCCCAAGTTTCACCTCACTTAAAAAAGGCCTGCTCACAAAATCAGACATGAAAATACAAAAGTATCACAGCCCCTAGTACTGAAAAATTGTTGATTTGCTCATTTTTACCAGATAATTATAAAATAAATCCATGGGACTATCAATATTGTACTTACATTTCAGTGTATAGTCTATAGAGCAGTATAAACAAGTCATGGTCTGTATGAAATTTTAGTTTGTACTGGCTTTGCTGGTGCTTTTTATGTAGCCTGTTGCAAAACAAGGCAAATATCTAGATGAGCTGATGGAAGATTTCTGTGTACCCCTGATCGAGAACCACTGCCCTAGGTATTCCTGTTTCTTCTTCCCAGTATAGTGAGTCCGCCTTGCTATTTCTTTCCCAGCAACTGCAGAATACCCCCAGTCTCCACCACAAGTGCCCTTCACTCAATTAAACAGAAATCACTTTAAAAAAAAAAAAATCTGTTCTGGTAACACCCTCTTAACTCAAATGCCCAGTCAACAGGTGGGAGGGAAGTTCTGTGTTAAAGATTTCTCGCTTGATGTAAACCTTTCTGCCATTAATAGTCTTTTGTGAGGAAAAAAATGGGGTAAATAAGATCAGGATTTCTAAATAAAATTATTTTATTTTACCCCGCTAACTCCCTTTGCAGGCTGCCTTCCTCATAAAGAAGCAATTTTAAGAATGAGCAGAAACCCAGTTAATTTTGTCCTTCCCTAGTGGCTTCAAAATCTATGCTATGGAGGTAGAAAAGCATATCATGAATTACACCTTCGATAGGAAGCATAGTCCGATGGGTAGAGCATTGGACTGGGAATCAGAACTCCAGTCTCCTGCTCCTGGCTCTGCCACTGACTTTGGACAAGTCAAATTATCTGGCTGTGCCTTCATTTCCACCTCCCGTCCTGTCTAGTTAGACTGTAAACTCTTCAGGTCAGGGACTGGCTCTTATGGTCTCTTTGTACCGGGGTCCCTGATCTCTAGGTGTTAGCATAATAAATAACAACAAACTTCCTCCTAAGGCCTTAATGTAAGTGGGAAATTGTGAGCAGCCTGGGGTAGGGCCCTCTTGTGTTGTGTTTGTCTGTACAAGCCGCCTTTATTCTTAATAGGCTATCTCACAGGGAAATAATAAGGTTAGTGAGACTCGTATAAGTGTAGGGCTGGAAGGGACCTCAAAAAGTCATCCAGTCCAGCCCCCTGTGCTGAGGCAGGACCAAGTAAACGTAGGCCATCCCTGACAGGGGTTTATCCAACCTGGCCTTAGAAACTTCCAGTCATGGGGACTCCACAACCTCCTTTGGATGCCTATTCCAAAACTTAACTGTCCTACTTCACAAAAAGAAAAGGAGTACTTGGGGCACCTTAGAGACTAACAAAATTATTTGAGCATAAACTTTCGTGAGCTACAGCTCGCTTCATCGGATGCATTCAGTGGAACATACGGTCGGGAGATTTATATACATAGAGAACATGAAACAATGGGTGTTACCATACACACTGTAACGAGAGTGATCACTTAAGGTGAGATATTACCAGCTGGGGGGGGGAAGGACCTTTTGTACTGATAATCAAGGTGGGCCATTTCCAGCAGTTGACAAGAACATCTGAGGAACCGTGGGGGGTAGAATAAACATGGGGAAATAGTTTTACTTTGTGTAATGACCCATCCACTCCCAGTCTCTATTCAAGCCTAAGTTAATTGTATCCAGTTTGCAAATTAATTCCAATTCAGCAGTCTCTCGTTGGAGTCCGTTTTTGAAGTTTCTTTGTTGAAGAATTGCAACTTTTAGGTCTGTAATCGAATGACCAAAGAGACTGAAGTGTTCTACGGCTGGTTTTTGAATGTTATAATTCTTGACGTCTGATTTGTGTCCATGTAGTCTTTTACGTAGAGACTGTCCAGTTTGACCAATGTCCGTGGCAGAGGGGCATTGCTGGCACATGATGGCATATATCATATTGGTAGATGTGCTGGTGAACGAGCCTCTGATAGCGTGGCTGATGTGATTAGGCCCTATGATGGTGTCCCCGAATAGATATGTGGACACAGTTGGCAACAGGCTTTGTTGCAAGGATAGGTTCCTGGGTTAGTGTTTTTGTTGTGTGGTTGCTGGTGAGTATTTGCTTCAGGTTGGGGGGCTGTCTGTAAGCAAGGACTGGTCTGTCTCCCAAGATCTGTGAGAGAGTGATGGGTCGTCCTTCAGGATAGGTTGTAGATCCTTGATGATGCGTTGGAGAGGTTTTAGTTGGGGGCTGAAGGTGATAGCTAGTGGCGTTCTGTTATTTTCTTTGTTGGGCCTGTCCTGTAGTAGGTGACTTCTGGGTACTCTTCTGGCTCTGTCAGTCTGTTTCTTCACTTCAGCAGGTGGGTATTGTAGTTGTAAGAATGCTTGATAGAGATCTTGTAGGTGTTTGTCTCTGTCTGAGGGGTTGGAGCAAATGCGGTTGTATCGTAGAGCTTGGCTGTAGACAATGGATTGTGTAGTGTGGTCTGGATGAAAGCTGGAGGCATGTAGGTAGGAATAGCGGTTCAGTAGGTTTCTGGTATAGGGTGGTGTTTATGTGACCATCGCTTATTAGCACTGTAATGTCCAGGAAGTGGATTTCTTGTGTGGACTGGTCCAGGCTGAGGTTGATGGTGGGATGGAAATTGTTGAAATCATGGTGGAATTCCTCAAGGGCTTCTTTTCCATGGGTCCAGATGATGAAGATGTCATCAAAGTAGCGCAAGTAGCATAGGGGCATTAGGGGACGAGAGCTGAGGAAGCATTGTTCTAAGTCAGCCATAAAAATGTTGGCATACTGTGGGGCCACGTGGGTACACATAGCAGTGCCGCTGATTTGAAGGTATACATTGTCCCCAAATGTGAAATAGTTATGGGTGAGGACAAAGTCACAAAGTTCAGCCACCACGTTTGCCGTGACATTATCGGGGATAATGTTCTTGATGGCTTTTAGTCCATCTTTGTATGGAATGTTGGTGTAGAGGGCTTCTACATCCACAGTGGCCAGGATGCTGTTTTCAGAAAGATCACCGATGGATTGTAGTTTCCTGAGAAAGGCAGTGGTGTCTCGAAGATAGCTGGGAGTGCTGGTAGCATAGGGCCTGAGGAGGGAGTCTACATAGCCAGACAATCCTGCTGTCAGGGTGCCAAAGCCTGAGATGATGGGGCGTCCAGGATTTCCAGATTTATGTATTTTGGGTAGCAGATAGAATACCCCAGGTCGGGGTTCCAGTGGTGTATCTGTGCGGATTTGTTCTTGTGTTTTTTCAGGGAGTTTCTTGAGCAAATGGTGTAGTTTCTCTTGGTAACCCTCAGTGGGATCAGAGGGTAATGCATTCTTACAACTACAATACCCACCTGTTGAAATGAAGAACCAGATTGACAGAGCCAGAAGAGTACCCAGAAGTCACCTACTACAGGACAGGCCCAACAAAGAAAATAACAGAACGCCACTAGCTATCACCTTCAGCCCCCAACTAAAACCTCTCCAACGCATCATCAAGGATCTACAACCTATCCTGAAGGACGACCCATCACTCTCTCACAGATCTTGGGAGACAGACCAGTCCTTGCTTACAGACAGCCCCCCAACCTGAAGCAAATACTCACCAGCAACCACACAACAAAAACACTAACCCAGGAACCTATCCTTGCAACAAAGCCTGTTGCCAACTGTGTCCACATATCTATTCAGGGGACACCATCATAGGGCCTAATCACATCAGCCACGCTATCAGAGGCTCGTTCACCAGCACATCTACCAATATGATATATGCCATCATGTGCCAGCAATGCCCCTCTGCCATGGACATTGGTCAAACTGGACAGTCTCTACGTAAAAGACTACATGGACACAAATCAGACGTCAAGAATTATAACATTCAAAAACCAGCCGTAGAACACTTCAGTCTCTTTGGTCATTCGATTACAGACCTAAAAGTTGCAATTCTTCAACAAAGAAACTTCAAAAACGGACTCCAACGAGAGACTGCTGAATTGGAATTAATTTGCAAACTGGATACAATTAACTTAGGCTTGAATAGAGACTGGGAGTGGATGGCTCATTACACAAAGTAAAACTATTTCCCCATGTTTATTCTACCCCCCACGGTTCCTCAGATGTTCTTGTCAACTGCTGGAAATGGCCCACCTTGATTATCAGTACAAAAGGTCCTTCCCCCCCCAGCTGGTAATATCTCACCTTAAGTGATCACTCTCGTTACAGTGTGTATGGTAACACCCATTTGTTTCATGTTCTCTATGTATATAAATCTCCCGACCGTATGTTCCACTGAATGCATCCGATGAAGCGAGCTGTAGCTCACGAAAGTTTATGCTCAAATAATTTTGTTAGTCTCTAAGGTGCCCCAAGTACTCCTTTTCTTTTTGTGAAGTAGGACAGTTAAGTTTTGGAATAGGCATCCAAAGGAGGTTGTGGAGTCCCCATGACTGGAAGTTTCTAAGGCCAGG